GCAGTGAATAATAATTGAGGCATTAACTTCGTTAGAGATAATGAAATTGTAATTACTATTTACGAAATTAGTGTTTTAAGACATCGTATAATAATAAAAAAAATCGGAGAATATCAAACGAGTCCGATATGCCAAATTAGATAACGAACTGTACTAAGTTGTTACAATAAGAATATCGAACAATGTTTTATCTTCATTGAAAAATTCCTAATTTTGTTTATATTTAACTAATTATCTTGCGAGTGTTGGCAGACTAATGTTGTTAGTAGTAATTATTTCTAACTTATATTAACTGTTTATACTTGTGTCTTACGTATAGTACCATTAGTTTACAACTACTACTTACACTTGCGCTTTCGCACCATCACAATCACACTTTCAGTCTGGGCGCATCGGTCGCAGCCCCTACATTAACAACTACACCGCAAGAACAATATATTGCTACCACCCTTGTTTTTAATGGTGAGATATTGTCATCAATTGTCCAAGCTTTGGCCTGACAATTGTTTTACTCCCTTGCAAAATGTACAAATCATAAGTTGTTAAGATGTTCCCTTAGAATTATAATGAGTTCATGAACATAGAATTATTTTCTTTCAAGAACCAAATAGTTTGAGAAATGTCCAAGCAATTGAATTCTGCAAGGTGATTCCACACTCAGTCATTAGCAACAAAAAACAACAATTCAGAAACAACAAAACACACACAAAGAAACACCTGCAAACACAATACAAATACTGCTATTAATTTGAAAATACTTAACATACTATTTCACTTATCTCTTCCAAAAACGTAAAAAAAATTGTATGTTTGCTTTCAGGTTATAGGACATCACACTCAAAAGTAGAAACTATTTACACCTGCATTTGTATTCGTCATTATCTTAATATTTCAGAATTTTACTTGTGAAAACTGAATTGAGAGTAATATTAGCGACATATTTCAACACCAACTATTTCTTAGAATTTAAACAGATTGCAACGAAGAGCGGTGGCAGGCAGGGTGAACTTGACCTTGTTCAGAAAGCACAGTTACTTTCCGCCCTTGATAATTCCCCTTCTCCGCTTTGTGCGTTCGTTCTCCCAAAGTTTTCTCACTAAGAAATCCATCTATTAATAATGCCTAGATATGAAAATATTCAGGGTGGATCTTACTTCCGATTCGCGGTTCTCCACGGCGGGATGTCTTCTCTTCACCTTCTTCCGTTGAAGCAGCAGTCGGTCAGCTTTCCACTCCAGAATGGCCCGGTTCAAGCGGTTCTAATTTCCAGTAATGTAGTGGAATTTCTTGACTTCAGATTCTCCACCTCAGTAACTCAAATCCATTCACGCAAGCGTAGATGCTTCACAACGAGTTATCAAAACAAATTACGAAGACAAAATTACCAAAGATGAAATAAACATTGACCTAAATCACGAAATCAGCTACTTACGTAACTCATTTATACATTTTCATAATTAATTACGCTGGCGCTTACCTCTGCGGACAATGTGCGGTAAATTGTCGTTTTCAATTCGATTTCAAAGTAGCTTTTCCGATATGGCGTCTTTCTGTACGTCCTTCTTACCTTCTGCTCCGTCGAATTCACGTGTCCCCCCCCTTCAGGTCGGTCGACACAGGCTTCGTTGAGATAGTTTCTTCTGCGGAGAGCACAGAACGTCCACTCACCGCTCATCAGTTGTCGGACGGATGTACCGCGCTATTTGAATGACCATTAGCGTTCAATGTGCCACGTGCCTTTCGCAAGACAAGGCGGCTGGTCACAATATTGCAAAATAATAATTCTTATAAAAAAACTGTTAATAGTTTTTAATAGTGAGTAATGGATTATCAGAAAGCTCGTTTCTAATAACTCTTATTAAGAAACTGTTCTCATTTTGATAACGTTTGCCTTGAGATAACAAAAATAGATTACACATTTTTAATCGTGTACTATTTTCAAAACTCTTTACCTTTTTTTCAAATGTCCGAATTTATTGGAGCGAGAACTATTGGGAAGAATTAAATAAAACTGGGTGTTGGGTTTCAGAGCAGGGATTCTCAACTTTTTTCTTTCATTGACATCTTTTAAATTAATTTTTGCTTCATCGACCCCCTTACGTGTTCACTCTATATATCAACCATAAACATAACACAATGAATTCCACATAAGAAACAATTTAGTATACCGATATTCTCGTTAATATTTAGATTTTTCAATAGTCAAAGACCTTTTCACTTTTGAGAATCTTCACTGAAATGCAATGGATACAAATTGTTCAGTGCTTTTTTAAGAACTGGCCATTACATGTCTCCCGAGCGTATTGTAGAGAATACTTTATTGCGCGATAGAGTATTATTGTTAATGTAGAGTTTTAATTGCACTAATTTCCTAAGCATACTAATTCCTAAGTCTGAAAAAGGAATTTATCCTTAAGAATGAATTCCTCTTGAATACTAAGGGCAGACGCGAATTTGTAATTTATTATCATAAGTTTGGTTGATTTATGCCAGAAAAATAATTAAATTATAATTAATGGGATCTTAATCACCATGATAAGGTGCTGGTTCATATTCGGTTATTGACCCCTAATCGACCCCTTAATCATCATTTAACACTCTTCAAAATTCCATGGCCCCTCGGATGGTCTACACCGCCTCGTTTGGGAGCTCCTCTTGGTTTGGGGCGAGAACGAAGCTTTGGGAGAGGAAGGGTGAGACACGAGATGCAAGTTCTGCACTGCTCCTCGGTTCCTGTTGGCAGCTTATTGCGCTGGAGTCCTAAACATTCTTATCTGCTCTTTCTTCCCTCTTTTCGTATTGTACTCCCTTTCATTGTCACCACGTCTTTTGAGACTGATGTTGGATTATGAACTTTTCTTCCTTTCTAAAAAACATCCAACTAGATTCACGGCTCCCGAAAAGAACAAGCATCTGAATGGACTCAATAGATCTTCCGGCGTACTTCAGCTTCCTGTAAGGACAAGCTTAATGAACGTCGAATGTTGGAGAGTTTGCAAGTTACACTATATCGTTCCTTTAAGTATCTTCCAATTCCTGGGTGATCAGAGCATTTGAAAGTGTTTGAGAAGGAAAGGGAACGAACTCAAGGGGGTACCGTCTTAGATGACGCAGTGAAATCGCTAGCGCCCCCGCAACGTCTGCGTCCAAAAGAATCTTGGACTTTAGTACCAACAGTGCCAGATTAAAACTCTATCTGGATAGCTAGGTCGAATTCAGACGCTGTCTGAGGGAGCATTCTAGCGGTCGGCTGCTCTGAGAGGTACTTTTCTGTGGTTTCTCCAGTCAATAGCTGACGAAAACCTTCACGAACGCACACCGATTCTTCCTTCCTCATTTTTGCCCCATCTTCCGTTCCACACACACATTCACAAAAGTAAGATGACTAAGAAGGTGCCCCGCTGGCAGAAGAATCTTTTGGGGAAAAAATCCGCAAGTCGACTTTTAGGTATTACGTTCGAAGGCGGATGGAGCACCGTCATCTCCGGGCTCTAACATGATCTACACGCACGGTACAAACGACGAAAATAGTTGAGGCCTGCGGACACACCAAATAATCCATCAATGAATCTGCGAGTGCAGGTGGCAGTGAGGGAAGAGGTCGCCGCTTCTTCCTGCCCCTCTGCCATCCCACTCGGTTTTGGCCTCCCGCCTAGCAGCGCTTCTTGTCTTTTCCCATCGCTCCCGGGATGGCGGGGGCGTCGGGCGGGAAGGGGAAGGGATGGGGAGGGATGGGTGGCGGGGAAGGTTCGAGGACGGGTGATAAGTGCTCAGGGGTGGAGTGTGGAGATGGAGCGGGTGCGGGATTCGGTGGGTGAGGGGCAGGGAAAGGAAGCGGGTGACGAGTCGAGGGCAGAGGTGGAGCGAGAGGAAGAGCGGTGGGGAGAGGGTGGACGTGGGGGAGAAAAGGGCGGGACGAGAGGGACAAGGAATAGGCGGGGGAGGGGAGTGGCAGGGATA